GCGGCTGTTTCATATGCCTATAAGCAAGTAGGATTTGTGCAGGGAAAATCCCATCTCTGAAGCCTTTTTCCTTAAATCTCTCTTCAGACCACGCTGCAGACAGATGAGGTGAAAAATGTTCCTTGTGGTACCAGGTGAGATGTTCAGCTCTTACCTCCTACAGTCCTTTATTCGTGCTGGAAACTTTTTGATCCTTTCCCTTTTTGTCCCCACTGCTTGCTCCAGTGCCCTTTAAAACACGTAGATTTGGTCTCGTGGACTGGATTTCCCACCACCACCCCAACTGAAATGGGTGGAAGGCTCCCTAACGCATCGCCCAAGCTTACGAGCCCTGCTGGAATGGTTCATGTGCAGCCATCCTCGGGGTCTGCACTGAGTTTTCCAAGCCTGGGCCCACATTTCGTGATCCAGTTTCTGGAAACAAGTGTAATTAAAACCAGGAGCCAGGTGGAAGGGGCGTTGGGGGGGTGCTGCGCGGCCGGGTGTAGATGCCCACTAGAGGGGGGTGTCCTCTGCTCAGGAGCTGCACAGGCAGAGCACTTGGCCTCCAGCAAGCTTCATGGTTTTTTCCCTTTTTCTTCCTTTTGCAGCGGAGGAGTGATGATTTATTTTGACAGAATTGAGGTGGTGAATTTTCTCATCCAGAGTGCAGGTGAGTTTGGATTGTTGTTGTTGCTCCTGCTAGTGTGAGATGGTGTGAAGAGGTGGTGCTTTGATTTGGAGCAGGGGCATCCCATGGGTATTCCCCTGAGCACTTGTAAAGCCCTGTACTTCCTGGGTGGAAACTTTAAACCGGCTCTTCCAGGCGTTTTGTGCGTCTGTTATTTCTTGCGCGCGCTTGTTCTGTGCTGCTGGTTGCTTCGCTGATGCCTGAATACCGTCCATCGCTTTTACTGTTGGTATTGTTATGGCCTCACTGGGCTTTATGCTTCAGTCAAGAACTCCTGGTTTGAATGACGAGGTGTGCAGGAGGCAGGGAGACAGGGGGTGTGAGCCGAAGGCCCTGAGGCCTAAGGAGAACGCAGTCTTTTTTCCAAATTCTTTGATTTTTAACGTCCTGTTGGTTACAAGCGTGGTGTAACTGGCTCATCAGTGGCCTTTTGAGACCTGTGTGTTAGGTGAACTGCAGGCTGCCTCTCCCTCATTGTGCACGGACCACACGGCCTGCGCTCTGCAGCTCAGACACAACACAAATGTGTTAGCAGAGAGCTGTTCTTAGTCAGGTGTCCTGGTCACAGAGCAAGTGGCAGAATGTTGGTTAGGGTGTTAAAAAACATTAGCAGTAAATAAAACTCCCCAGAACAAGGTCTTTGTGGCGCAGGCTTCTCGTGTGGGTGGATTCCTCGTTCCACACGGGCACTGTGACTCCTGCTGCTGGGACTGAACCGTAAGGTTTTCGCTGGACGTGCTCAGCCGAGCCGAGGCATTGTTAACCCCGGGTTCTCCTCTTTTACAGTGTATGACATAGTGAAGAACTACACCGCTGACTATGACAAAGCTCTCATCTTCAACAAGATTCACCACGAGCTGAACCAGTTCTGCAGTGTCCACACGCTGCAGGAGGTCTACATCGAGCTGTTTGGTGAGCTGCCCCTCTGACCTTTGGCTGACGGCTCGAGTGATGTTGCTGACTGCTGTTTGCCTGGTCGGTTGGTGCAGAAATCGCTTCCCCATCTGATGGGCTTTTTACCTGTTCATCCAGTGTCTGCTCTGTTTGGAATCAGGATTGTTAACCAGCTGCCATCATTTACTCCTTGTTATCTTCTGCTGCTGAGCGCTTCAGTATGTTGTAACAAAAGAATTTCAAAGCCAAACCTGCCAGTAGGAGCTGAGGGCTTTAGGGAAAAAGGGAGTGGTAATTCTGCGGTGACCTCTGTGTTTAGCAAGCGTGACTTGTTGAGTCAGTCTCGGGGTTTGCTAGCCCAGGCAGAAAAGCGAGTTCTTTTCTCTTTGCTGTTACAAAAAGAAAGAGCAAGCGCTCCGGGCCTGCGGGTTTGATGGGCTTTGTGTCACGCGTGTGGCTGCGGCGCCCAGCGCAGGATAACGGGACTGCTTGGCAAGGGCCTGCTGAGCTCCCCTCCCTCGCTTCAGGCCGCTGGGAAATCGGGCAGCACAGGCGCTGGCAGGACACATCTCTTCAGGCGGCCTCTCGCGAAGTTGTGGCTTCCTGGTAGAGCAGTCGCTGCTGTGTTGTGTTTATGGCGTTGGACGCACAATCCCTTCCAGCGTTCCAGCAGTGCTGACTGCGGGCAGAGTGTTGCTGTAAATGGGTTTGGAGCCCAGATGGACAGGACTTGTGCCTGAAAGAACACAGGGTGTTTGCAAACTCCTGCCCGCTGTTCAGACTGGGCTCCCCGCAAAGCCGGGCTCTCCGCTTTCTGACAGGCCTCCGCACAAGCAGAACTGGGGCTCGACTCCCCTCCAGCTCCTTGATGGGACTGCTGGCGGGGGGGCTGGTTCTTTGCCGATGGCGTCTCCAGCTGTCGGCAGCTGCTGCTGACAACTGCTTGAAATGGACCCAGAGGCACGGATTTGCACAGAAGGAACTTGTATAAACTCCCGTGTAAGTCTCTGGTTTGAGCTGAATGTTTTCTGGCTCGGGAGGTCTGAAATGGGGCGCAGCCCGTTTTGGGCAGGCTTGTGTTGCCCTCTGCCCCCACATCTGCAGGCAGGTGCAGGAAACTGATAGCAGCTGTTTCCTCAACTCCTGGCTGAACTTCCTCACGAGCCTGAGTTCCAGAGAGCTAAACTGGGACCAAAGCAAATAATCAGGGAGTGCCATGTGATCACTTTCAAGGCTGTTACATTTTTATTTTCCTTTTACACTTCCCAACTGGAACCGCTGCTGTCCTTAGAGCTTTTCGTTGAAACAGGGGTTTGGTTTGTATTTTCTTTTGAAATGTCTTAGCTGAGCTGGAGTTGAGCGCTCTCTGTTGAGCCAAAC